TCAGTTGCTGACATGCTTTTGGTTGCCTTTAGAAAAGCTTCAATGGCTAATACCAGAAGGAGAAGACTGCAGGTGTCAAGTGTAACCCAGATAAGATGTTTTCAGAGGAAGCTGCTTTTTCCCTTCAATATTTCATTCGCTAAGAATGCAGCTCTACTACTTTGTCATTCTATTCACAGTAGTTAATATGATCCCCATAGCTCGAGATGATATTATCTTTTTCTATTATTTTTGGAAATCAATTGTAGAATACCAAACTGTTGCAGAAGAGAAGATATAATTTAGCTGCTTCAACACATACTGGAAATGACAGCAAGAGCTTTATATATAGTTGTTTGGCATTTTTAAAGCTTTCTAAAAAAATATGTCCTTTTATTCATAAGGTCTCCAAGAGATACAAGCCACTTGCTTCCCATCCTCATATTTATTGTTGTAATGAACTTCTTATTGATTTCATCCCAACTCTTGATTTTAGAGTCAAGGTTGGTGTATAAGGTAGTACGTATGCATGATAAACTTGCAGATAAAGTCTATGAAAACAGTAAAATAATATTTCACTTGTAAGCTTAATTAGTGACACATACTGCGTAGAATGGAAGCAAAATGAATGACTGGCTATAGTGTCATACGAAAAGAGAGCTGACCACAGCATGAGCTGCTGGCGAGAGTCTGTTACTGTCAGGGTGAGTGGAGAGAGTTAGCTGGTTCTGGTAAATCATATGTGTGATGTCCTGAGCTATTACTAGTTATGAGCAGATTGCTTTTTAATTTTTTTTTTTTTTTTTTTTTCCTCTAACTGCTGGTGTGAAGAATTTTCCCTGCTAGCTACAGGTTTTCTTCTATCTCTTCATATCTGCAGCTCATCTGATTGGTAATATGTTCCTTACAAACACAAATCATTATTGGGTCTAGATGATGTCATACTATATTTTCATATTTTAAAGTTCCTTTATGTTTTTCATCCTGTCTATGAATTAAGAAAATAATGCATAGAGAATCAATCAGTAATGAAAATGTCTAGAAGCAGTGTCATGTGCTGGGCTACAATTACAGTACCTGAGGTAACAAAAATCATATTGGTTTTTGTCTCATCTGTTTCATGATGTGAGTAATAAAGAGTTTCAAATTTGTATCTGTCAAATTAGATGTTGATGTCTTAGGTTTTTTGAATATAACTAATTGCTGTGATAATATTTTGATAGCCTTGAAAATTGCTTTTAGATTAAAATACACATTTTCCATTTATAATATAGCATTTATCAAATTATTCCAACAGGTGTATTTCTATCACCATTAAGGTTATTTTCATATTTAAATCTTGATATATCTATGTTGGTAATTCTTTTTTAATTATATATATATATATATATATATATATATATATAAA